CCAAAAACAGGATTTCCGATGTCCGCTTGTGATGTACCCTAAACCCTAAACCCTAAACCTCCCATGCTCTTGGCATGGTACTATTGCTTTCATAGCCCTCGGACCGGAACCCGAACACAGCAAACACTTTAAAGCCTCAGCCCCAAACCCTAAACCCCTAAACCCTGAACCCTGAACCCTAAACCCTAAACTGCGAGTCCTGTGCAAAGCTTTCGAAGCCAGCAACCCAGGAGCATTTCTTCTCCGCTGTTTCAGCCCTTTCAATTGAACCCTAAACCCTAGCAACAACAACCCTAAACCCTTAACCCTAAACCCACTCCCCAGGCCTGAAGGAGAACGTAGACAACATGATAGACGCTACGCGCTCCCACCCTATGACTCAAGGTTCAGGCTTCCGATCTGATCTTCGGCCGTATAAGCTGAACAACCCAAAACATCCCAAAGGTGTAGGGTTCAGGGTTCAGGGAAGGGCATGCGTGGAACTGTCGAAATGAAGCCGTCAGCAAATCTCTGAACAAGACGACGCTGATGGGTTTAGGGTTTAGGGCCTGAATCAAGGGCTCCTATGTAGTTCCTTTTTGGATAGTATACTATAGTTCCTGATCAAAAAACCATAACAAACCCAAAAAGGAACTACATTGGAGCCTCTGGGTAGACAAGACTGACAACATCCAAAGCTCTGATCCTCAAGCGACTGTCCGGCGCAGATGGTCATGGAGGGCACGCCGATCGAGGAAGCCATGGAGGAGGTGATCGGCTGTGGAACTACGTGCATGAGCCTTTCGGCAGTGGTCGTAAGAGTCCAGCAGGCTGTCTGAGGTTTTCTTAAGCCCGATAAACCGTAAGAGTCCAGGAAGTGTCGGGTATGAGGCTTTCAGCCTGTAGTGTTTGCAGTTGTCCGGTAAAAGCGTCTTTGCATTTGACAGCTACGGTTTCGAAGCTGGTAGCAGGTGTTGGGGGGTTCAGAAGCTGGATGATGGTCGGGGAAGGTTCGTTCTTCTAGTCACTCGAACCAGTATGGCCGGTCTCGGTCATGGCTGCTCCCGCGGTTTTTTCCTGGGGTCTCGCGCTGTACTTTTGACCACAGCTGTGAGAATCATGTCGTTCACATGCAGAGGAGCACGATTGCGGCCACGTCTCTATCACGGGTTTAGCCAAATAGCTTCTATGGCTGCCAGCTCCATAACGGATGATGCTTCTGTGATCACAGTTTGTTGTAGCCACTATTAGATAATACTGCAGGGAATGTGACGACCACTGATACTATAGTAGCGCTACACACTACATGGCGCTAGTTCGTACGGCGTCGACTTTAAGAGGCGGCTTTTAGCGGCCTCGGCATGTGCCATCTGCTGCCAGGCACAGTTATGACGCCGTTCATTATCCTCGCCATCTTCTTCTTCGCCGAGGAAACGGAGATTCCAGCGCAGCTGCCATGCAATTCGAGGATCTTCGAGGGAAACTGCTCGGCTTCGTCACTGTGGATTTTCGATGTGTCATCGTTGTCATGCTGGTTTCCCGGTTCTCCGTTTAAAGCGGCGTTTGTGTCGCGACTGCTGCTAAGTTTGACAAAAAGTCTCCTCGCACACCTTGTGTTTCCCAGCAATGTGTCCCTGGCAGGTTCTACGGAGCGGTTACTTAAATCGCGGACCCCTCTGTAGGATTCGTACCGACGCGTGGATCCTCAAACACTTCCAGTGCTTTTTTGAATATGATCTCCCGGATGAGACCGACCTGCAGGCCCGATCGATAGAGTTGTGGGTTGTTTAGCCCACTTCAGAGAGACCTCTTCAAAAGGGTTTTTTAGCCCGCTTCATGGGTTTAGGGTTTTTTGGCCACTTCACGGGGAGTTTTCTCTGCGGAACGACATGTGCACTTCGAAATGACTGCGAACCTTACGCAGGGCGGTCGTGCAAGTCGCATTGCCTTGCTTTGCACTCTGAACCCCTAAACCCTACTTGGAGGTTCACGGGTAGTTATAAGTGGGGTTATAAGTCCCCTAATATTGGTTATAAGTGTAGTTGCCCTACTTATAACCCCACTCATAGCTGGCTAGGAACCTCCAAGTATGAACACTATATAAGCAAAAAATAAACCGCAAACCCTCTTAAACCCATGAAACCTACAAGGCTAGAGACTCTTTAGCGGAGAAAAACAGGTGTTTAACACACTACGAGACCCAAAACCCTAAACCCCTGAACCTAAACCCTAAACCCCTAACCCTAAACCCTACACCCTACACAAAGTCGCCCAGGCAGTACGATATCCGAAGCACAGACTTGGTCTGTTACCTGCTTTTCGGACTTATCATCGCCCCCTTCCAGGCCGGGGCCGTTGCAGAGTGCAAGTTTCGGTGTAAAAGCCGGGATAAGTACCATGATGATTCCTTTGGGTTCATTCTGATATGTACGTATGCATGTATGTAAGTATATATATATATATACATATATACACATGTATATGTATATATGTATATACATGTATGTATGTATGTATGTATGTATGTTTGCATGCATGTATGTATGTATGTATGTATGTATGTATGTATGTATGTATGTATGTAGTTATAGAATATGCTTTCCCCCAAGATCAATTCTAATAATCCCCGAGGCTATATAACTAATCTTTAGTTCCTCGGGGGACAGTGGGCAAGTAATAATTTCCATGTTCAGGCTTCTTGAAACCGCAAACTCGGACCCGAAGCAATTGTTCAATCAAGCAGGAAACCGTAAACCCCAAACCCTGATCCATGTGCTACTCAGACACAACGCCCGGCTTGCGCCAGCTGTGACAGTTCTACAAAAGAGACCACATCGGAAGAGCGTAAAGTGCAGATAACGGTTGAAACCTGGACAACAGACCCTAGAATCCTGAAGACCCAGATGGACATCACGCTCTAAACCCTCAACCCTGCGCCCAAGTTTCAACGCTTGAACCCCGAAACCCCTAAACTCGAAGCCCTAGTTAATATATATATATATATATGTATACATACATACATACATACATACATACATACATACATACATACTATTCACTGGTATATCATAAGGTCATGATGGACATCTTGATGAACCACGACACTTGGCTGCACGTCTCGATGCTGTGGTCAGACTCTGATGGCTCAGTTTTGAGCCCGGCCATTAGATGTCAGAAGCCTTTTGGCTTAGTTGTTTAGGATCCAGGGCTTAGGGCTTTTAGGGTTTAGGATTCGTCCGTGGTTTAGAGTTTCGGGGCTTAGAGTTGACCCAAAGCTTTTTACAGCCTAAATTCTTAGCCCAAAGCCGAAGTGCAGAGGCCGTACTGCGGTTTCGAGCGGGGCGCATGCTCCCCGTAGATGTCCGTGTGCTCACGAGCTTTTGGGGTCCAGGACCAATAGTAGCTCTTGTGCACATGTGGTGCGATGGAGAAATCTGTAGCTGGCGGCATGAAGTCCCATTTTGGGACTGTTGGAAGACATTGTAGGAGAGAGTCCCTTAGCCGGTGCCAAGCCCATCATCCAATGCCAGTTCGTGCGAAAACAGATGCCAGCGGTTGATACTCGTAGTGGCTACTGGAGGAAGTTTTGACACAAGCTCACCGATAGCCTGAAATGTTGCATGTTTTGTATGAACGCACAGTTACGCATGTTTAGAGACGAGTAGTATCGTTCCATCATGTTAGGCTTTACTGGAGGGTACGGCTCGAGTTGAGGTTTTCGGACCAGACCCGCCTCGTCAAAACCCACAGCCTAAAGCGCCGAGACAGCATCTGCAAGGTTTCAAGGCTCGATAACTCCAAAACTAGCAGATGCTGTCTTTGCGCGTAACAAAAGAGGACGGAACGCATGTAATGATACTCCGCTGATCTGCAAAACTTATTATCTGGGCATGTTCGGAGGCTGAGTTCTTTCCGAGAAGAGCCATATGAATGTATACATATATGTATACACATACACACACACACACACATTTGGCTGTGTGTGTATAGGCGTGACGGGGTTCAAGGGGGTTCGTTTCAGAGGATTTAGGTTTTAGGGCTCTTTCAACATACTCATATATTTAAGGAACACACACGAAACACTGCAAATTTCGGAGAAACCCTGGAAAAAGTGACAAGACGTTCCACGCCAAAAAGTCCGTAAGTTGATCCGGGTGGGCCTTTGCCAGCACTTCCCCCGGATGCGGACACATTCTGAACCCCCAAACCCTTATCCCTAAACAGTGGCTTCTGATTCCTTAAACTCTAAACCCCCTAAACAGTGGCTTCTGATTCCTGGATGCCAGGCCACTGAATTGCAGAATAACGTCCGTATCTACGACTACATGCTGTACGCCAAGTGGCGCTGGCGCAATCGTGTGACCCGTGCCTGGGACCATGCTGAGAAGAGCCCTCCACACCGGTTGATATCCTTAAGCCTTCCTTTAGGGTTTAGGGTTTAGGGTTTCGGGGTCCGAAAATCCTAAGCCATAGAACCCTCGTGATTGCGAGTTTTGCATGCTCTGTGTGCACCGACAAATTCAGGCAGCATGTCGAAAACACGCTAGAACCCTGAACCCCTGCTTGGGAGAACCAGCATGTGTGAGCCCCCGATCGCCTCAGGAGGACTAAACCCTAAACTCTAAACCCTTATGGGATGACTCCCTGAACCCCCAAACCCTAGACCCCTAAGCTCTAGGATGACCCCGAGCAAACTCCCTGAAAAACCTGGAACTAATCACCGTAAGGGTACATGTGCTTAGATGGTACAGGCTGTGTCCCCCAATCACCTATCGAGGGACTACTTGCAGCATTTTAAGGCCAAAGTATATACTATTCTGGTATGTGGACCCTAGGGTCATGACATAGAACCGCTGAAGCAAAACGAGAAGAGCCCTTGATAAGCATCATAGCAAGGCCATATAAACTTCAACATCACAGTAAGCCCCTAACCCCTAAGCCCCTAAACCCTAAACCCTAAGCCCCTAAACCCTAAGCCCCTAAACCCTAAGCCCCTAAACCCTAAACCCTAAACCCCCCAGGCTGGCTCTTTGACGACCCACGACTTGACCTCAGTATCGCGGAGCCGCTCCAGAGTGTGAACCACTTGGCCTTCTCGCCACAGTCCGGGGACTCAGCTCACGTTTACGTTCATGCCGTTATGATTGAATTTGGGTTTAGGGCTTACGGGGTTTAGGGTTTAGGGTTTACGGTTTTTGTTCATGGCCTGGCTGTCCCTGCTATTACGGTTGTCGTTTGTTGGTTTCCTGTCCTCGCGAGGCTCTTCATGACTTCTGAATCTCTTGACCCCGAACTTCCCGAATACTAAGGGGGAATACTACTGTCCTAAACCCAAGTACCTGATAATTAGGTCCTTTAGCCCTTTAGGGCTAAACTCTAAACCCTAGCTCTGAGTCGTCCTCTGGCTTGGGGGCCTTGTTACGGACGGCGCGTTCAAGCGCAGAGGACGGCTGGGAGTAGAATCTAAGCACATTTGTTCGAGGTGCTAATACCGGTGCCTTAATCATTAGAATAGGGTTCAATCGAAGGGTTCCAGAAGGGTTCTATAGGATATATAAGGGTTTGGTATGGGGACCTTAAGCATTAGGGTAGCCTTTTCATGCCTTTACGGGTTAGAATGTGCCATACTTTTTCAGGGCCCATCTAGGTGCAGAAGGGTCTAGGGAGATGGGGTTCGTTGGTTTGAAGTTCAGAGACCAGGATTAATCGGTGTTTAGGTGTTCATTACGACCTGAATCCGTAAGTGCCGCGGTATCCAATAACCTTGCGGGTGCGCCTTGTACCTAAAAGTACAGTTTTGCGGTTACAGGTACTTCTTACAGCGTCACACGTCACACTGTTAGACCCTAGTATTAACCCATAAAACGTAAACCCCACATCCCTCTCTCACACATAAGCTTGAACCATTACCTTGTCTCGGAGGAACCGCCATTTCAGAATTCCACAATCTGCCTTACTGACGTTCGCCCTGAAACCCTAAATCGTAATCATTACCCATAGGCCCCATAGTAGTTCTTTTTTGGGATTACCTTATAGGCTAACTTATAGGATTCTAAGTATGAACCCCCAAAAGGAACTACTATGGGGCCTATGGGTACATACTATATGGCTAGTAACCCGTACGGTTTAGGTATCTGGAGCCCTAGGGTATATAGAGCTGCGAGGAGATGATAGTTCTAATTTGCAGAACCCCTATATTCCGATCCCGCCGCCACTGCGCAGCCCCCAAATTCTAAACCCTAAACTGGCCCTAAACCCAAGACCCTAAACCCTAAACCCTAAACCTAATCTAAAGCATAGATCTCTGCCATGCGAGAGGGAAAACAAACCTAATCTAAAGCCCCAGGCCTTGCAACCGGGCTGTCCTGAAGAATTTCCCTTCAGTGTTTGTGCTAAGTAGTCCTTATTTATGGTTTTAGGTGCCCACAAAGGCCCCAACGTCCTTAAATAATGGGTACTTGGACCCTTAGGGTTTAGGGCAAAGGGTTTCGAGCTGAAATTTAGACGGATCTCTACAACTGAATATAGAGAAGCATGAGGACATTCCAACATGAGTCCCTAGATTTCCTTAACAGAATTATACTACCGTCTCGTATAATCTGCTCCTAATTTTACAAAGGCTGGGAAAATCATCCTACATCCTAAACCCCCGGACCCTGAACCCTCAACCCTAAACCCCTAAACCCCCTAAGCCCTAAACCCTAAACCCTAAACCCCTAAACCCCCTAAGCCCCTAAACCCTACAGATCGGCCTAGGTTCTACTTCATCGAGACCTACTACACCTGGGGCATGCTGGTCTCGCTGCTGTCCATCACCATCTTCCTGCGGAAATCGCTCCTCGGTTTCATGATCCGGCGGGTTTGGGGTTTCGGGGTTTAGGGTTCAGGGTTTAGGGTTTAGAGTTTAGGGCTTAGGGTCTGGAGTGTAGGGTCCAGGCCTAGGATGAGGGTTTTTTAGGGTTTCGGGGTTTAGGGTTTAGCGCTGCCGGCATACACTCCAAGTCCGTGCTTAAAAAAGGGCTTAGGGTCTGGAGTTCAGGGTTCAGGCCTAGGATGAGGGTTTTTTTTAGGGTTTGGGATTTAGGGGTTTAGGGCTTAGGGTCTAGATTTTAGGGCTCAGGCCTAGGATGAGGGTTTTTTTAATAGGGTTTGGGATTTAGGGCAGGGTTTAGGGTTTGAGGTTTAGGGCGAGCTCCAACCAAGCCTGTGTAAAAGAGTTTAGGTCTGGCTTGGGGCTTGGAGTTCCGGGTCCGGCTGAAACCCGCAGCTTGCGTTTGGGTGCATGGTGTGTTGTGACGAGGATTTGGCGTCGACGAAGCCCCGGTGCTCCATGAACCTAAATAACGGTTTAGGGCTCTTCTTTCTATTTTGGTACTATTGTTGTTGTTCTTATCCATATGAACCCTAAACTCTCTCTCTTAGGTGACCGGAGCCCTACGGGGAAGCATGTCGGAGAGAGGGTTTGCTTTAGGCTCTTGCGGTGCAGCTTGCACGTGGTCTGCAGACCACTTCTTCGTCATTTCCGAGTCGCAGGGATTCTATCGCAGCTTTCTTGTGCCACAGCCCCTCTTGGGTTTTGGCTTTTGGCTATCCTTCTTGCTTCATGTGCGAAATGGGTCGCGAGCTTAACCTCTTAACCCTAAACCACCAACCACCAACCCAATTCCCGGAGCCGTGAACCCTAAAGCCTAAACCCCAAACCCTAAACCTTAGACCCCAAACCCTAAACCCAGGTACCCTTGCACCCCACACTGCTGAGTCTTCGAGTCCAGAGGTTTCAGGATTTAGTGGTTTGGAAACCCCAAACCCTTGGCCTGTTTGCTCGAGGGCTTCCAGTTTCCTTTAGTGTTGTTCCTTCGACTTGGGTTTTTGCACATTGACCATCTTCCGTCTCACGCCTCAGATCTCAAGTTGGATGTGCATCACATGTTTCATCCTTGTGTGCGTGAGCTGTTCGGAGAACGCTCTCTCCCGTCACAACCCTAAGCCCTAAACTCTAATCCTACAGACTTGCCATGACGGGCAGGAAGGGTTGTCTTGGGCATGTTTCCATCCCAAAGCGTCCTAAGTACCTATATAGTCGAGGGTAGGGTTTCTATGATCTGAATCTAAATTATTATTATTATTACTACGGTTATTATTTACTATCATTATTTGTGTTACTATATAGTAAACTCCAAAAAGTTGGAAACCGGATTAAGGACAAATAGTGCTCGGATTCCTTATACTTTGCTCTTAAGGATTCAGGCTATTGGGTTTCCAACTTTTGGGCTTCTACTATAGGGTTTAGGGATTAAGGTTTAAGCTTTAGGGTTTAGGGTTTGGGCAAGTATCCCCCAAAAAGGATGTCTACTACTCTGAGCCCAGTCGACCAAGCCCTTAGGTGTAATATGGAGGGCCTATTCGTGTCACCATTACTTTTATCGCCAAACAAAATGATGGCGGCAGGAGCAGAAACAGAATGTGCAGAGAAATTTTCCGGCCTGTAATATGGCGTAATTAGGGGTCCGGGCCTTTTCGCGGCATCGGTGCATGTCCACAAGACTTTCCAGGGAAGAAGGTTCTGAGTGAATGGTGGGTACAAAGGCGCGTACCGTAGGGTTTGGGATTACGGTCAAGGACGCATACGTTATAGATTTAGATAACCCCGCCACCTGTCCACTTTGCGCACATGCAGCTCAGTTGCCTAGAGTCATATCGCACACGCTGCATCAGATATGTAGGCCTGTGGGTCAAGGGTCGATATTCGATCCGAAAGAATAGCCACCTCTCGAACCCCACAACCCGCCCGAAAGTCCTGCAACCAAATGCAGCGGTGGCCCGTATACATCTTTGTAGCGCCGATGCATTGGGTCACCAATTCTTTCCCTAAACACAACCTGTATCGCTATTCCTTAAGCCTGACACGGTTAATTCAAACCAGAAACTCATCTCTCAGGATGAACCCCCTGGACGACCCAGCCTTGTTCATCATGGTGGGCATGCTGGTGGCACTCAGGGGACTTGGCAACTAGGGTTCAGAAGTACCCTCGTTAGGCTTCTAGCTAGAGATAACCACTATGGTTCCCCGTAGGAATAACCCTACGTATTAAGTCCCCTGATCCTCGAAGTAGTTCTTTTCGGGGCATACTTTCGTTTAGTAGTAGTAACAGCCAAGCCCTCAAACACAACAGTTCCCATTCATCCCGCCTCCCTGTAGAAGCTCCCAACGCAGTGCTTGCCATAGACAACCGAGTCCGATGCCCCAATCTTAGCGGCTGCGTAGGTAATCCCTTCCCCCTACCCCCCCAAGAGAAACTCGCAAAGTGTTTTAATATTAGGAGGCATGTTTATTTCTACTGCCACTTTTGACGGGTCGTGCTGCGGCTCTTGCTCCCACGCTGGCTGTTCCCCCTGCTTCTTCTGCGTCTCTTGCGCCTCCTGCTCTTGCTGTTGCTCTGTTGCTCCTGCTTTTGCTGCTCTTGCTCTTACTCCTGCTATTCCTCTTGCTCCTGCTCTTGCCGTTGCTACCGCTGTTGCTATTGCTCCTGCTCTTGCTCTTAGTCACTGTGCCCTAGGGGTCATTTGGGGCCTTGGAACCTTCCCCCTAATTTCAGAACAGGTTTTAAAGGGCAGGGATAATTTCGGGATGATTGGCCCCACGGTGTTTTATTTATTGGGGGGGGGGGGTCTCGGCGTGTCTTAATAAATGCAAGGAAGGGATGAATCTTCAACCTTTCGGGGCTTATATAATCCTATTATACTTCGAAGGTTTAGCTTGTTTGGCTGGCGTACTCGGCCCCCAACCCCTAGCAACAAAATAGCCCAAAGGCCTTTCATAGTAGGGTCTTTGGGCCCAGATGCCTCAAACTATGACCCTAATAATTAAACACCCTAAGCCCCCAAACTGTAAACCCCAAACCCTAAGCCCTAAACCCCAAACCCCAAACCCTAAACCCTAAACCCTAAACCCTGAACCCCTGAACCCCTAAACACCCTAAACCCCCAAACCCTAACCACCCTAAACCCCCAAACCCTAGACCCCCAACCCCAAACCCTAA